AGCTGAGAGGCCGGGAAACGGAAGGGGTGTTTTTATCAGCCATTCTCACATAATTACTTGACCTGCAGGAGAAAATGAACAATGATTAAATTTCACATCAGTTATTTTAATTCACTAATATCCACAAGAGCACAGAAAAATGTATCCAACCTAGATAAAAAACATGCATTAACCATACCATTTTCCTTTACCAGTGTCAAAAACCATGTGTTTGTGAGCTGATTGTGTAAAAAGTAAAAATGTGGTTAATCTCTTTTTCTGAGGCCTGATTCATGATCTTTTTTAATGCTTGGGGTCAGCAGTAGTGGTTATCCTAAGTATCCTGAAGGAGGCCACTATTTATGAAGAGCTGTAAAATCTTGTTTCTTTCTCTGGTGACTGCATATAGTCTTAAAGAAGGAAATATTTGTTTGCTGTAGCAATGTAAAAACAGGTACATTTTAGTTTCTGTGTGCTACAGCTGAGCACTTTTAGTTTTTCAGCATGGGAAATAGTCTAGTTAGATCATGTGACTGTGTGTGCAGGTCCAATGCAGTATTGCCAACATTTGTGGCTTTACTACAAGTCTCATGGTATTTGATGTTTTTACTTAAAGTCCCAGATCTGTCAAGTGATTATATGAGAATCTCACCCTTCATTTATAAAACAAAGTTTCTAGCCCTCAAGGTTGCAGTGGTGCACGATAAAGGCTTGGAACCAGAAGGCAAATAATCCCCCCACACCTCTAAAAATGTAATTTTAAAAAAATCATGATACTGGGGGCCCTGACGTCTGAGGTTGGCAATACTGCCTATGGAAATTAGTGAAGCTGTGCTTGCAGCCATGGTTCACCCTGTTCTTCAATTGGAGGCTATTACAAGCCAGCAGGTAGCATGGAGAGTTGGTAGTTAAAACCTAGCTTCCTACATGTATCTAAAGGTAATCAAGAGGTGGAGTTAAACCTAGTATGGTTACCCATGTTCCCAAACTGGCAAAGATGTAATTTAATTGAATGGGTAAAACTACAATGGAGTCCTACTTTTTAAAAATTAAGTCTGTATTCGGATTGTTTCAGTAATATTTTGTCTGATGTAGTTATGATGACTGTGTATTTCTTCTTCTAGCTAGAAACTAATTGTTCATATTAAGTGCAGGTGCTTCCTTTGTGAGCTATATTAAGTGATGCTGTAACCGCTGTCAAGCACAATGACTATAATCCAAACAGAGACAACAGTCAACTCATCTAAATTTTACTCTATTTGAACTACACAAGTATTCACCTGATGACATCTTTATTTAAAATGGCCTTCAGCAAGGAGGATTCTAAATTTCTTTACAGATTGTGGGCAAAATACTGCCCTTATTATAATAAGTTTCAGAGTAACAGCCGTGTTAGTCTGTATTCGCAAAAAGAAAAGGAGTACTTGTGGCACCTTAGAGACTAACCAATTTATTTGAGCATAAGCTTTCATGAGCTGTAGCTCACGAAAGCTTATGCTCAAATAAATTGGTTAGTCTCTAAGGTGCCACAAGTACTCCTTTTCTTATTATAATAGTGAGTGAAAGGGTCTGGCCATGTACTGAGTCCCAGAGCCATTCTACTAGTATGTGGCAAGATGACTCAGGGTAGCCAAGTGAGGGAGGATGGGCAAGTTTGTGTGCTATGCCACTCCTTACTGATCCTTTAAAAACAAGTGGGAGAAATTCACATGTACCATTCCTCGTGCCTGCAACATACCATCTGAAGATGTCAGACCCCCTAAACTGCTGATGAGAGAGATTGGAGATATTTCAGAGGACTGAAAGGTGGCAAATATAGTGCCGATCTATACAAAGAGGAATAAGGACAACCCAGGGAATTATAGACCAGTCAGTTTAAATTCAGTACCCTGACAGTTGGAGCGAATAAGCAATCAATTTGCAAACACCTAGAAGATAATAAGGTGACAAGTAACAGTCAACACGGATTTGTCAAGAACAAATCATGTCAAACCAAACTAATAGCTTTCTTTGACAGGGTAACAAGCCTTGTGGATGGGGGGAAGTGGTAGATGTGCTATATCTTGACTTTAGTAAGGATTTTGGTACAGCCTTGCATGACCTTCTCATAAACAAACTAGGGAAATATAGCGTAGATGGAGCTACTATAAGGTGGGTGCATAACTGGTTGAAAAAAACATTTCCAGAGAGTAGTTATCAGGAGTTCACAGTCAAGCTGGAAGGACATATCTAGTGGGGTCACACAGGGATCAGTCCTGGGTCTGGTTCTGTTCAATATCTTGATAAATGATTTAGATAATGGCCTAGAGAGTATACTTATAAAGCTTGTGGAAGATTATCAAGATGGAAGGGGTTGCAAGTGCTTTGGAGGATGGGATTAAAATTCAAAATGATCTAGACAAACTGGAGAAATGGTCTCATCAGTGCTAAATCACTATTTAGCACTGATGAGGCTTCAACTGGAGTAATGTGTCCAGTTCTGGGCGCCACAATTCAGGAAAGATGTGTATAAATCGTAGAAAGTCCAGAGGAGAGCAATAAAAATGATTAGAGTTCTAGAAACCATGACCTATGAGGAAATATTGAAAAAACGGGGTTTGTTTAGTCTGGAGAAGAGAAGACTAAGAGGGGACATGATAACAGTTTTCAAGTACTGTACATAAATGTTGTTACAAGGAGAAGGGTGAAAAATTGTTCTCTGTAACTTCTGAGGAGAGGACAAGAAGCAATGGGGTTAAATTGCAGCAAGGGAGGTTTAGGTTGGACAGTAGGAAAAACTTCCTGTCAGAGTAGTTAAGCACTGCAACAAATTGCGTCGGGAGGTTGTGGAATCTCTGTCATTGGAGTTTTTTAGGAACAGGTTAGATAAACACCTGTCAGGAATGGTCTAGTTATTACTTAATCCTGCCTTGAATGCAGGAGACTGGACTAGATGACCTATTGAAGTTCCTTCCAGTCCTACACTTCTATGTTTCTATGATGATTATGCACCCAAGATAGGGCCATGTGTTCTTGGACATTACCTACAGAACAATGGGTCTTTTTGTTCACCAGCTGATGTAATAGCTAATCTCCCAGCCTAATGCACTTCTGAGTTCTGTGTTGGAATCCTCCCCTCCTGCTGTATGGGTGAGTCATGGTGAGAGGCAAGGTTATATATGCCCTCTTCCTTCAACTACTGCACCCAGAATTTTGCCCTGTATACTTGTCTGCTACTGAAATGCAGTTAACTCTTAAATTGCCATGCTACGCCAACAACACTATGCAACAATTTTAGGAGTAGAAAGTGAAGAGTAACTTTTGGAATTGAAACTAAAAGGTAATTAAGTAGGCAAAAATTTACCGGTGTGTGTAACCATAGCAGTGTTCGACCTTTCTGCTTGTGACTGGTTTCCACTGCTGATGGTTTACAGAGGGACATAGGATATGAGAACGGTGAGATGGGAAGGAAAAGATATGGAGGGAGGGACAAGAAATAGGGAACAACAACATAAATGGTAAACCTGGTGCCAAGACCAACATTTTCAAACTTAAGTGACTAAAATTAGGCACGTCAGTAAAAGGGGGCTGACTCAGAGACGCTGCTGGCCCACAGCTCCCACTGAAGTCAACAGGAATTCAGTAGCACTGAAAATCAGGTTACTTTTATAAATGTAGGTGCCTGTTTTCTTATTATTTGCATTATCATAACGCCTAGGTGTCTCAGTCATGGACCAGGACCCACTGTCCTAGGCACGGTACAAACACAGAACAAAGGACAGTCCCTCTCCCCAAGAGCTTTCAATCTAAGTAATTAGGTCAGTATCCCAGGTAAAGGTGCATCAACACCGGGGAGGTATTGGGAAGGGTATGTGGGATGAAGGTGTTATGCAAGATGGTACTGAGAAGGGTATAAGTGATGGGGATGTAACAAGGCAGGGAAAGTATCAGTAGTGGGGATGTATCAGGGTGAGAGAGGTATGATCAGGGTATCAGGGAGAGGGCAGTATGAGCAATAAGGTGGTATTGGGAGAGATACTGAGGATGGAGGCACTACTGATGGTGGGGATTTATCGGGGTGGTACTGGGTTGGGTATTGGAGATCAGAAGGGATCAGGTGTGGGGGCAATGTCAGCAGTGTGGGTTGTATCAGGATAGAGGTGTTGGCAGTGGGACTGTATTAGGATGGGGGAGGTATTAGGAGTCATATCAGGGATGGGGGCAACATTAGCAGGGAGGTTGTGTCAGCAGTGGAGGGGCTGTAGTGGCAGATTGGAGGCAGTACCATTAGGGGTGCAGGGAGTGTATCAGGGTAGGGGCAATACCAGGAGAGGTATCGGGGATGAGAGGTTGTATTGGGGATGGTATCGAGGGAGAAGGGGAATCAGGGATGAGGACTGTGCTGGGGGTGGTAGCAGGGATGGGGGCAGTGTCAGCAGAGGTATCAGGAATAGGCATGGTATCAGGAAGGGGATCAGGGATGTGGGAGGGATCAGGATGGGAGCCAGGCATGGGGGACTTTATTGGGGGTGGTGGCATCAGGGATGGGGCCAGTATTAGTAGGGTATTTGAGATGGGGTGGTATCAATAGGGCTATCTGGGATGGGCAGCATGAGGAGGGGGATCAGGGGGGTACCAGGAAGGGGATTGGGAGAGGAGGCAGTATAGGGGATGGGGGCGGTATCAGGAGGAAGACAGGGGGATGAGAGCTGCATTTGAGGGGACGGAATCGAGGATGGGAGTGGTATCGGGAGGGGGATGGGGGCGGTGTAAGGGACTGAGGATAAGGGGTGCGTATTAGGGAGAGTATCAGGGACAAGGGGCGGAACACGGGGATGGGGCAGTATCAGGAGGAGTATTGGCGGTGGGGGCGCTACCAGAAGGGGGACTGAGGCGGGAACTGAGGATAGGGGCAGCGTGGGGAGCAGTATCGGGGAAGAGGCCGGGGCCGGGAGGCATGTCGGGGCCCCTCCCTGCCGGAGTCACAGAGCGGCAGCTGCCACGTCAGGGCAGTTTCCTGCCGTAGCCGGAGCCGAGTCAGCCGCCGACGCGCGAGTCCCCGCCCCCGGCCACCGCACAGCGGGGAGCGGCCGCCGCCGGGCCGGTCGCAGGGAGCCGCCGTCCGCCTCTGGCCCAACGTCCGCGCCATGGAGACCCGCTACAACCTGAAGAGCCCGGGTGAGCGAGCGAGGGGCCGCGGGACCCGGCAACGTCTTCCGGGGCCGCCTGCCTGGGCGGGAGCCGGCTCCCACCTCGCCCTGCGCTGGGGCAGCGGCTGGCGGCCTCCCTCGAGGCCTCGGCCCGGCGAGGGGTACAGGCCGCAGCGGCCCGGGGTTGGGCCGCGGGAGGAGCGGGCCGGGAGGCGCTGATAGGCCGGAGTCAGCGGCCGGGATGGGGTCTGCGGGCCTGGGAGCCTCCTCAGCCCCAGGGCGACGCGGTCGGTCCCTCGCCCTGCCCGCTGCGCTCTCGGCCCCGGGGGGAGACGCTGAGCTGGAGCAGCAGCGAGCCCCTTCCGGGGGGCGGGGAAATGGCTGAACCCCACTCCCAGGTCGCCCTTCTCTCCAGGGGCTCTGGGCGTTCGCTGCCCCCACCCATGCCACAGCCTCTGTGTGCCCGACACCCTCGCGTAGCCGCACCCCACTCGCCCTCTGCCCACCTGGGTCCCCCAGTCTCCTTCGCCCGGGGTTCTGCCCCCCCTTTGCCCCATGATGGTCCCCCCACTGTGCCAGGGCTCCCGTCCCTTCTTCCCGCACTGCAGGGTCCCCCATTCTCCTCCCTATTGCCTTCACACCAGAGTCCTTATTCTCCCCACCGGGCCAGGGGCTCTGTTGCCCCCAACTCTTCCTCACCAGGATCCCCCATTCTTTACACCAGTGGCTCTCAACCTTTCCAGACTACTGGACCCCTTGCAGGAGTCTGCTTTGTCTTGAGTGCCCCGAGTTTCACCTCCCTTAAAAATGACTTGTTTACAAAATCAAACATATAAAATACAAAAGAGTCACAGCACACTATTCCTGAAAAATTATGCACTTTCTCATTTTTACCATATAACTATAAAATCAACTGGAATATAAATATTGTATGTACATTTCAGGGTATAATATATAGAGCAGTTAGGGTTGCCAGGCGTTGGGTTTTCTACTGGAACGCCTGGTTGAAAGGGGACCCTGGGCCCCCTTTAAAAATCCCCCGTTAAAAATCCGGCCGGCAGCGCAGCGGGGCTAAGGCAGGTTCCCTGTCTGTCCAGGCTCGGCGCAGCTCCCAGGAGAAACATGTCCCTGTGGCTCCTAGGCGCAGGGACTAGGGAGGCTTTGCGTGCTGGCCCCACCCTTAGTAAATACACGATCCTAGTGAAATGTTGTGGCCAGTCCAATGGTACCAGTGGGCACCATCGTCTCCTGCGCAGCTCCGGTGGGAGCCCGCTCAGTGGTCAGAGCTTCAGAGGCACCGTTGGCCTCCCTCTCCAGACACCCAAGAAAGGAGTCAGTGGGATGTCCTCGGCCCCGTGCCCGGAGTCCAACTAGGTGGTGGACCCTCCAGTGACGGACGACACCCAGAGCACCGTACTGGCCTCCTCCACCTTCCCGGAGGAGGTGATCGCGTCTCCACCCCGCAGGAGGACTTCAGGGCCCATCAAGAACTCTTAAAGAGGGTGGCAGCAAGCCTCCAACTCCAAGCAGAGGAGATGGAGGAGCCCTGTTTAATGTGTTGTCCCCATCTGCACCAGGTAGGGTGGCCTTGACTCTCCATGAAGGGGTGGCTAAGATTTCAAATGCCCTGTGGCAAACACAGGCCTCGTTGGCCCCCATCTCTAAAAAGGTGGAACACAAGTACTTTGTACCCACTAAAGGCATGAGTACTTGTATGCCCACCCAGTGCCCAACTTCCTGGTGGTCGAGTCGGTCAACCACAGGGAATGGCAGGGTCAGCCAGCCCCAACCCCAAAGAACAAAGACTCTCAGAGACTGGACTCTTTTGGAAGGAAAATGTATTTGTCTTTGAGCTTCCATTTACGAGTGGCAAACCATGAGGCTCTCCTGGGCCGGTACAAATTCAATCTATGGGGTTCCCTGCCCAAGTTCGAGGACTCCCTCCAGGAGCGCAATAGGAAGGAGTTCAAGGCGCTAGTGGAGAAAGGGGCAGCGGCCGCTAGGACGTCCCTGCAGGCAGCCTTGGATGCTGCGGACACGGCCCCATGATCCATGGCCTCCGCGGTGTCCATGAGACGGGTGTCATGACTCCTGCTCTCTGGGCTGTCCAACAAGGTGCAGTCTTCCATGCAGGATCTCCTGTTTGATGGGAAAGCTCTGTTTGTGGAGGAAACAGATACAAGGCTGCATGGCATGAAAGACTCCCGCATGACCCTCCAGACTCTGGGCCTCTATGTCCCTGCTCCAGCAAAACCTAAGTTCAAACCACAGCAGACTCCCACCCAGGCCGCCCTCCTGAAGTATGAGGGCGCCCATAAGAAGCAGCAGGACTATAAGAGACGCCCATAGAGACAGTCTCGGCTTGCCTCCCCCCGCTCCCCCCCAGCCTGGGTCCTCCAAGGGCAAGCAGGTGGGGAAAAGGCGTTTTTGACAGGATGCTCAGGGGCACCCCGCCAGTCCTCACCAGGGATCCAATAAAGCTCCCCTTCTCCAACCGGTTGTGTGCTTTCCTCCTGGAATGGTCGCGGCTAACCTCACACCAATGGGTCCTCAACACCATCTCCTGGGGTTACACCCTCCAGTTTACTTCCTCCCCATACAACCACCCCCCCCGTCCCTCTTGGGGGACCCCTCGCATGATCCTCTGCTCGAGCAGGAGGTGGGGCGGCTCCTAGGACTAGGAGCGATAGAGGCGGTGCCCGAGGAGTTCATGGGCAAGGGATATTACTCCCATTATTTCCTTATCCTAAAGGCCAAAGGGATGCTCAGGCCCATCCTGGACCTGCGAGGTCTGAACCAGTACATGGTGAAGCTCAAGTTCCACATGGTCTCCCTGGCCTCCATCCTTCGCTCCCTGGATCCCGGGGACAGGTATGCTGCCCTCAACCTACAGGACGTGTACTTCCACATCCACATATTCGAGGGACACAGGCGCTTCTTCCGTTTCATGGTGGGACAGTATCATTACTAATTCACAGTCCTCCCATTTGGTCTGTCCACTGCCCCCAGGTTGTTTACAAAATGCATGTCGGTGGTAGCGGCCTACCTCAGACGGCGGAGGGTCCAGATATTTCCTTATCTGGACGATTGGCGTGTCAGGGGCACCTCCCGGTCGCAGGTGAGGGATCACGTGGCACTCCTGTCCAGGTGCACTGTTCCACGTTAGTCCCGGTCCAATGCATAGAGTTTATCGGGGCGCTCCTGGACGCAGAGTCGGCCAGGGCGTCTCTCCCGCCAAACAGATTCGAGATCCTAAAAGGTCTCATCCACTTGGTCACAAGGTTCCCAGTGACAACAACCAGGGTTTGCCTGCAACTCTTGGATCACGTGTCGGTGATGCCCCCGGTTCTGCTCTGCGGGGGTCTGGGGAGGGATGCTACCTCCGATGCCTTTCTCTTGCCAAGGTGACTTCTCTTCGCCTTTCCACCATTCCCTCTAATCAGCAGGGTCCTGGAAAAGGTAAAGACGGACAAGGCCCAGGTCCTCTTTCAGGATCAGGGGTGCCTCCTCCATCCAAACCTAGCGGCGCTTCACCTCACGGCGTGGCTGCTCAGTGGTTAGGCGGAGAGGAAAGGACGTGCACAGAACAGGTTCAGCGCGTCCTCCTCGAAAGTAGACAGCCCTCCACTCGCCGCACTTATTTGGCGAAGTGGTCCAGTTTCTCTAGGTGGGCGGCGGACTAGGGTGTCTCCCCGGTGGCCACCCTAATCCAGCTTATCCTTGATTACTTCCTCCACTTGAGGGCCCTGGTCTCACCTCTCATAGAAGGTGGCCTTCCTGGTTGCAATCACGTCAGCCAGGCGAGTCTCGGAGCTCAGGGCCCTGACCTCCGAGCCGCTGTACACGGTCTTTCATAAGAACAAGGTCCATCTCTGCCCACACCCCGCATTCCTCCCGAAGGTGATCTCCGCCTATCACGTGGGTCAGGACATTTTTCTACCGGTCCTCTGCCCCAAGCCTCATGCATCCAGTGAGGAGTGCAGTCTTCACACACTCAATGTGCAGCGGGCTCTGGCTTTCTACTTCAAGTGGACGAAGCCATTCAGAAAGTCCTTGCAACTGATCATCACCTCGGCTGAGCGTGCGAGGGGCCAGCCGATTTCGACTCAGCGGCTTTCCAGTTAGATCACTTGGTGCATCCGCTGCTGTTATGAGTTGGCGGGTGTTCTCCGCCACCCATTTTGAGGGCACACTTGACTTGGGTGCAGGCCTTGTTGGCTGCCTTTGTGACCCACGTACCCATCCAGGACGTTTGTAGGTCCGCCATGTGGTCTTTGGTTCACATGTTCACCTCGCACTATGCGATCATCCTCCAAACCAGGGATGACACCATGTTTGACAGGGCTGTCCTCCGTCCTGGGAACTTGTGAACTTCTACCCACCTCCAACGGATATAACTTGGAATCACCTGTTGTGGAATACACATGAGCAATCACTCGAAGAAGAAAAGACAGTTACCTTTTCTGTAACTGGTGTTCTTCGAGATGTGTTGCTCATGTCTGTTCCACATCCTGCCCTCCTTCCCCTCTCTCGGAGTTGTCTCTCAAGAAGGAACTGAGGGTGGGGGGAGTGCGCAGCTCCCCTTATACCACGCCAGGCAGGCGCCACTCCAGGGGTTGCTGGGGGGCGCTCCCCCCCCACAGGTACTGCTAGGGGAAAAACTTCTGGCACCGGTGCACGTGGCGAGCACACACACCTGCTGTGGAATAGACATGAGCAACACATCCTGAAGAACACCAGTTAAGGAAAAGGTAACTGTGTTTTCTTCGCCTGCTTACCACCAGCTGTTTATAAGTAACACTTATGATTAGAAGAGGTCCTAAAAACAATAGATCATGCTTTTGTGTGTAAAATGTAGCAGCCTTTTTGATGACCTATAACTGGTGCCATCCACCAGTATCCTTAGTATACTGCCTGTAGATGTCCAATTAGTAAAAATGACTCTCCTGTTAATATATAACATGATATAAAATGAATTATAAACAAAACTTTGCAAATAAAATTATGGCAAACATTTTAAAAGTATAC